AAAATAAAGAACTCTGTAATAATGGGGGACATTAATTATCTTTGATCATTGTCTTCGGTCCATCCTCTCTGGGGCACCTGGTGCTGGCCACTGTCGGCAGACAGGATACTGGGCTAGATGGACCTTTGGTCTGACCCAGTACGGCCGTTCTTATGTTCTCATGTTCTTATGTAAACACACAGGTTGCATGTCTGAATGGTACTTCCTTGACACTATTCAAATTTAAAGGACATTTTCTTTGCAGAATTAGACGCAACATTTTCCTTAATCATAAGAAGCATGATTTCCACACCATCCATGCCCACCTGATGAATTAAGGTTCTTTGAGTTATGGAAGCAGAGTCACATTGGCAGCAGTAGATTTTAATTAATCATTTTTGACCAAATGGAACAGTGTGTTCCTAAGCAGGCCAAGAGAGATCTCAGTGCTCGGTTCACTTGCCCTCTGGCACTATCTTGTTTTGCATGTTTAAAATGAACAGACAGACAGACAGACAGAGGGAACAGACTACAAGGGCATAACCCCTTCAAACTGAAGAGGATTATATCACTGCCAGTTCGACCTGAGTCCCATTGCAAAAGGAAATATTATAGGATTAGTGAGTCATTTATACTTACTGGTAACTGTAAAGCAGAGAGAGTGTGTGTGTGTGTGTGTGTGTGTGTGTGTGTTAGCTTCTGACTTATTCAAAGTGAATTAACAGACTGAGGGTATGTCTACACTACAAAGTTAGTTCGAACTAACGGACGTTAGTTCGAACTAACTTTAATAGGTGCTACACTAGCGCTCCGCTAGTTCGAATTTGAATCGAACTAGGGGAGCGCTTAGTTCGAACTAGGTAAACCTCATTTTACGAGGACTAACGCCTAGTTCGAACTAGCTAGTTCGAACTAGGCGTTAGTCCTCGTAAAATGAGGTTTACCTAGTTCGAACTAAGCGCTCCGCTAGTTCGATTCAAATTCGAACTAGCGGAGCGCTAGTGTAGCACCTATTAAAGTTACGTTAGTTCGAACTAACTTTGTAGTGTAGACATACCCAGAGAGATATATTTAGACATTTACTTTTGAAAATTTAAGAAGACCACATGGCTATGTCTACACAGCAGTGTTATTTCGGAATAACGTAAGTTAGTCCAAAATAACAAAGAGCGTGTCTACACTGCAAGCAACACTCTTTTTTTGTGTGTGTGTGGAAGAACAAAC